TTTAGTCTTTCTCAAGATCTGAAGTTCACACAAATTTGGGGTAAAGGTAATGATGTCTTCATGCCCTACTTTACAACAGCTTATATACTTTACATGAGTTCTAGATCCTAAAAGAATACCTTAGAATCTTCTGTAACCTTCAAGCACTTTCACCGTTATGGTTTCGGAAGTTCTTTGTTCTTTGTTTAGGTACAAATTGTATTTGATGAACCTTTGTTTGGTTATTCTAAGTTTGTCAAATATTGACAAATAGTTGCATTGTGTAATACAAGTCATAATGCTTGGATTTGGGTATACACATCTTTAGAACTTAATTGTAAATGTGAAAATAACTTGTAAGTACTTGAGAAATGTCATAGAGACTTAGGTAGGCGAGATGAGAGGGAATGAGAGGGAAAGAAAGGTATAATGGTGGGTATAAGAAGTAATACCATAACAGGAGAGAAGAAGAGGAGGAGAGGAAGAAAGGAAGAGAAGGGGAGAAACAACAAAGAACTTGGTGAACTCTTGTCTGTGAAGGATGGTAATACAGATGTGGGTGGGGTATGCAGATAAGGTGCAACTGGAGATCTTGGAGCTGAAGTAAAGGCAGAAATGGAGGGGATTTCTAAGCAGCTAAAAAATTCCATAGTGTGAACTGTATCCATAGTGTCAAAGTGGATAATACTTAAGCAACTCAGGAATCTTGGACTGAATAGCTTCAAGGTGAATCACACATGTCACTGAGGCCCAAAATTGTTAGAGGAGAATGAATGAATCTGTAACCGGACTGCATTCATAGTGTGATTGGAAGTGGATGATACTCAAGCAACTCAGGTAGATCACAGATGCTATTGATGCCCTTATTGCTACCTACATACTGGAAGCACAAGCCAGACATAGTGGAAATCATTGCACAATCTTCCAGAATATATACCCCAGACATCAAAAAAATCACAAGTTTTTTGCTGAAACTAGGACCCCTGACACCCCTACAGACCAGAAAAATATATCCTGCTTCACAAAATATATCCTAAGGCCAAACCAGGGCAAAAATATATTTCTAAGGTGTGACAGTGACATTTCAGGGTCCACTCACCAAAAATATATCCTTACTGCATTTCACTTGCAAAATATATTTTGGTGGTGTGACACAGACATTATAATTTTTGTGTGACATTTCAGGGTCCATGTCTCAAGAATATATTTTAGATTTCAGGGCTTTCTAGGACCCATATATATCTAGAATATAGATATGGTCTATGACATTTAGTCATGTAACTTACATGGAGTTTGCATGACTAATAGTCAGTTGGCACTGGGTGACTGAAGTGCCCTGCGAGCAGTCAACGTCATCGCGTGGAGATATATCTTGGGTAGTTTCCCCCTCATTTATCGTGGATGGTTTATTGCCCTTTTCCAAAGATCCAGGGTTAGCACTTGAAGGATTCTCGTCATTTGGGTTTGCACAAGTGGCTGAACCTCCATAAGCGTACTCCAGCAAGAACTTGACCCATCGCTCGTCGAGCGCCAGTGCATGGCGGAAGAAGCAGACGTGTTTCATCCCGTCGACTGTCCGAGGGAGCATCTTCTTTCTGCGTGCAATCCCAATGGACGAGACAGAATCCCTAAAACTCTGATCATGAGCGTACAGGGTTCCATAATGGCAGCACGTATTACATACCAGGAACCAACGAAATGCACTCGTACATCTTTGTATGAGAAGGCCCGCTTGAAACACTCGGCGCTGGAGGTCTCTTGCTTCGCCTGCGGTGATCCAACTCGAGTTACTGAACTTGATACCTCATCACTTTTCGGGTCTACATATAGTTCATATGCACTGGAGGTAATTGGTTAACGAATAATAAGATATGGGATAATTTAAGCGCACAATGGAATCTGCATCTCATTTCCCTTATGGATCAGCCTCACCTAGATTTTTCCGAAGACGTCAATTGGGGCTGCCACTGTTCTCAGAACGTAGCACACCTTGTCGATCATCGCCGAGAGTACGCGGACTTGGAATGCACCACGAGAAAAACCTAGTTAGATCCCTTAGCATCAAAGGACATACAAGTCACATATTGTTCCAACCCACCGAAAAGAAATATACAATCCCCACGCTCATAATTGTCTGACAACCAGCGATATGCACCCAATACTGTTCGTTCAAAATTCCTGAACGAGGAAAGAGGTGAGCATAAAAGCCAGGTATGTATAAGTGACCACTCAGCGCACCATGCAATTTGCATGCAATCGCCAAATCGACCTTATGAGAAATGACCTGTCAGTAGAATTTGAACGATCTCCAAGATGGCCAGGCGTACGTCCCGATACCACTGTTGTACCAAGTTTTCTGGTTGTCTTCGGCCTCCTTCAATATGTGATTATACAATTCGATGACATTTGTGTTCTTGCAAGAATGTCAGCAAGTGGTGAGCCTCGCAAACACATACTCACCTTCTCTCCAAACTGATTTGCGGTACCGTCGATGCAAACAATGAGGTTCCTACCACCGATCTTATGCTGACATAGTTTGATTTCTGTGTCCAAGGTAGTGACAACACCCACACTGGCGGTCGCTTATCAAAGAGAGTCAGCGTTGTTAACTTGTTCAACAAAGATCAGAGTCAGATGTGGACGAGGTAGTACTTACATTTCTTGCCTTTAACGGAAGGTATATGATCGTCTGGCATGGAGAAAAGGGAAGTGGGTAACTGTGAGGGAATGGATGGAGGTAAGAAGCCTAGCGTTCACTGGATGTTGCTCCAGATTATATGTAAGGACAAGCACCGAGCCTCGAGGCTAGCTCGAAGCAATTGTAAGCAGGTGACATGTCGACAAAATACACAGTAGGAACGATCGAAGTGCTCATTACACCACGGCCCAGAACGCTGGCTAGCGCTGGCTCTTGAAAATCTGAATGGGCCTTCACTAATGCTTACCTCCGAGTCTGTATGTACCAAATATATTCCATCGACATTACATATGTAAAAAATTGAACAAGAAAGTATACACGTAGTGTAAGTAAATGAATGTCCTTGGACGTCTATGTATATGCAACCAAATTCTGAAAAAAAATAAGAAAAGAGAAAAGGCTTGCGAGCAGAGACCACCTGGGACCGTATGCAATAATGATAACCTCCTCCACCCAACCACACCCAACGCCCTCATTCACCCCCCAACAAGCTGCTGAAACAACAAATACGAAATCCCCTCACACAGCATCTCAATCTTCTCCGCCATAGCCGCAAACTTGAACCTATTCCCATACCTCTCCAATCCCTGCCAATGCCTCTCCAACCTCTTCACCGCATCTCCCAGACTCCTTCCTTCTTGCCCATCTGCTTCCCCCTCACGAACCCAAACAACTTCCCCCCAATCCCACATCCACGCTTGCACACCACAGCTCTCCTCAACCCTCCTCACAGGCTCCTTCACCACTCCAGCAACCGAACTTGAAGAGAGGTGCTTGACCATGTCCATCAGCGCGACGTATACCTCGCTATGTACCACCCAATCGCGCTCTGCGCCAAGTGTGTGGGATAGGAAAGCGTACATCACTCCGGGGAGGTGGGAGACCGTGAATAGTCGTGGTATGGAGGGATGTATCCCCGATCCAGAGGACGAGGAGAGGGAAGCAGCCTGGACGAGCCAACTTGATATGTTCCTCAACGTACCCACCAACACCCCCTCAAACGCCCTCGTCCTCTTATCCGTACGCCCAATCACCACACTTATAAACTCCCGCATTGGCAAGTTCGCAACGAACCCTGCGTATTCCTTATCGAAGCTGCACAGCACTTCGAATAAGGCAATGGCGCAAATGGCAGAGCAGCAGGTTCGGATTGGGCATGATGAGCCGCCAGAGCAGTTAGGTGGACACCAGGTGGGTTTGAAGCAGCCCCTGCAGTGATTTGTGTAGCAGGATGCACAGGAGGAGGCGAGGGGCGAAGGGTTCAGTTGACTGTGTGAAAGGTAAATCAGCGTGAAGAAGGGAAGAACGAAAGAGGGAACATACAGAAGATCAAGGACTCTTCACAACCTCACAACATTTCGAACACCATCTACTCGCAGTGAAAAAATCACGGTGATGCGAAGGTTTGTGCTCTGGCAAGATATTTTGTGCCCTAGAACGCGTAGCTGGCCGCATTGTGGGCGTTACTAGTGGTGTAGGTGTCATCGTCAAGCCGAGACAAAGGTCCTGTGCAGAGGCTGACACTTTTTTTTCTATAGGTCGTGATTTTGTTGTTGTCGCTGAAGGTGAGTGGGAGATGATGGAGGGCGTCATGCCATGGGTATCTGGTCCTGGTTGTGTTGGTGAGAACGAGGATGGGTCTGGCGGTGGAGCTGAGACGGAAGGTGCATGTGCACGGCGGGAAGAAGAGCTCGCGATGGCCCAGTCCCTCCAGATGGTTGTCGGGAATGTGTACGTGAGGGCGGGGAAGTCGAAGGGAGCATCAATGGTGGGGATGATGATGGAGTCGATTGGCCTGCAACTGATCCACTTCTTTCGGCTTTATAACCCTCCACGGTGGCTGACTTTCCCGTGGGTGCCATATCATCCACCCTCACTTTTGACGATGACGAAATAGATTGAGAAGGAGGTGGTTTTGCAGTTGATGGAGCTCGTAGACGACGGAATGAAGAATCGCCGCAAACCTCGGAGTAGTGATGTTTCGGATGTCCTACTCATGAAACGTAAGTCGTCCCTCTCCCATAAACGTTCGCAGAAGTCGTCTTACCCAATGTCCATCGACCTATCGTCCGTCCTTCACCAATCAGTCATCATCCTTTTAAATTCACGACATCCCTCGCAGAACTGTCTTGAGCACCCTCCGGTCGTCTGTCCGATGCGATGTTGTTGAAATGTGGTGATTGTTGCTTAAAAAGTCGAGTTTTCTGAGTGTACCGTCACTTTCTTGCACTTCATATCGAAAATACAGCTTACTGACCTTTTACCCGTCGTCGTCGTTTTATTGACAACTCTCCACATCGTATGACTTGAAGTTTCCGTGCCAGGTTGTGTCCTCGTCGTTTAGCCCCATCCAAAGTCCAAATCACATCAACCGCAGTATCCCAAGCCTCTGCACCCTTGCTCTTCACTAAAATATCATGCAACTTCTCCGACACCTCCCTCGGCACTGTGTGCGCCTTGCCAGCAGGCTCCCCTCACCTGTAGTTGGCAGTGTTGTGCAAGCAACACTATGATTAGAGTCACTTGTGTTGTGCACAATTGACTCTAATCCCTAGATGGTGCTTGCACAACACTTGCACAACTTTACTGTAGTTGTCCCTTTGCCTCATTTAGCCTCTGCACACCGAGCCTCCGTAGACGTGAGGCCGTGAGGTGCCACAGTTCACCTTGGCGTGCACCCGACTATTTCCCTTTTCAGACACGATCTAAATTTAACGTGGCAACTCCTATTTATGGTCCTGAGGGACGCATGTCACTACTTATGTAATCATAGAGGGACGCATGTCACTACTTATGTAATCATAGATTTTCCGCACATTATTAAGAACATTATCTACATATTTTTGTCGCTGTCCCAGACAACGTCGAGAGGGTAAGACTCAAAAAATCAAAAAAAAATCTGAATAAATTGTAAAAAAATTCTATACATCGTCATCGTCCTTGTCAGCCTCTGCTACTTCTGGGGGAATGACACTCTTATCCTCCCACTGTATGTAGGCCAGGACGAACCGCCAAATGTGTTTGCAATACGCTCGCATAGCATGGAACTGTGCGGCTTGCTCTTTCGCATACGCTATGCGCCCCTCTATCAATGCTTTATCAGTGCCATGTGTACCCCTTGTCGCCGACCACCTCTTCTCAACCACGTTCTCATCCCAATCATGAGCACGGCTGGCAAAGAAGTCGAGCACCCGTCGCATCTCTTCAATGAGTAGCTGGACCTCCTCAGTCCACCAAGCCGCCCATGCTTTGCATTTGCAAAATTCAATCCGGAGATCTAGCCATGGCAGTAAGAATGGGGAATCCAAGTTTGAGTGTGTACGCACACACCCTCGACCAGATGCTCGCCTTCAGACTCAAGCACCCTTTCACCAAGCTGCCTCCAAATCCACGAGAGCGTTCGATGTCCCTTGGAAGCTACGGTTGCAGGCGCACTCGCTGCATCACCAGACTTCTTGCGCATTGGAACGGTGTCATCTGGATCGGAGAGAGCTCGGATATCCGATGGCTTCAATACAGGAAAATTCGGCTCCCACCCCACGTCGTCGACGCCAGGAAGCTTTGATAATCTGTGGAGTAATACATGCGCGTTCTGGTATGTGACTGCGGCGAAATCGACTCTTGCTTGAACACAGTGAATGACAGTCCTGGAACGCGTGTTTGCACACTGTCCACGCTGAAATCGGTCCTTATCGATGTAGAGGTGTGACCGTAGTCGTAAGGAATTCCGGAGTTCATTGAGGGCGTCATTTGCTTGAGCCTGTCGCAGTCTCCATTCCATCTGTCATAGTCGAATGTCGCATGAGTGTTTCTTCGGCAGCACAGATGGTAGCCAGAGCTCGATATCCTCAACCTTCTCCTCTACATCATGATCACTGCGCTCCTGGGCCTCCAATTGGGCAATGCGAGCGCTAGGCATGTACAGCTGCTGAACGTCCATCCAAGAAAAGATTTTGCGCTGAAGAGTAGTGGCGCGAATCTGTATCTTCCTTTTCTGGTCATCTGTAGCATGAAGGCCCAACGCATCTATGTCTAGCTTCAGGCGACGTCTAATGAGAAGGGAAGTAAGTACAAATAATACCATGTAGTGAAAGGATTAAGATGAACGCACTTTTGAATCTCAAAATCCATGCCCATTGTGAGCATCATGCTCGCTGAGATGTCCTCATGGAGTATGTAGGCCACTCCCGATGCCAGCTCCGCAGCCTCTGTGAGGGCAAGTTGGTGCTTCACCGAATCCAGGGTAACCTCTGAGGGAGCAGATGAGATCGCAACTCGGATGCTTACTGAGTGGACATACTTTTAAACGACACCTCAAATGGGTTGGGTTTTTGAGGTCTTTATTGTCCTCCACTGATTCCTGCCGGAATCCAGGCAATTCCTGGAATTCCGGAGGAATCAAATTTGGCAGAGGGCCCTGCCAAATTGATCAAACCATTCCGGCGGAATTTGAATTCCATTCAAATTCCGCCAGAATGGTTCCAGGAATCACCCGGAAGGAATGATCCCGGAATGAGACGGAACGGAATTCCTGACGCCCAAATCGAGTGTCGGCGTTTGCCGACGCTTGATTTGGGCGTCATCAACAAACAACTCCCACTCTCTCAACCACCACCATCATCCACGACGCCAACCCACCTCGCGACACCGCCACGTCACCAACGGCCACCACGACGCACACAACGACGACGTCCGTCGTCGTTTCACCACGACCCCAACACAACACCACGGCCACGACACGGAAACGACGCCCCAACGCCACGTCACCAGCCTCAGTAAACG